GTACAGCAGAAGGATCACCTGAGCCCAGCAGCTCGAGGCTGCAGTGGCCGCTCCCGGCCACTGCACTCTAGTCTGGGTGACAGAGTGAGACTCCAACTCAAAAAAAAAAAAAAAAACAAAGAAATCAACTTCTTTCTCCCAGTTCCTTGCCCCTTTGATTTACTGGTATCCAGGGCGGCTGCTGATTGTCACTTGGACCATAACAGAACAAGCCTGAGGTCGTGGTCCAGCCCTCCTGTGGCCCGACTCAGCACACTCCACGGGCGTTCTGCCTGCCTGGCCCACGCAATGCGGCTGGAATGAATGTTTTGGACACAGGACGGAGGCCCTGCCTGAGGGGGGGGCCACCACGTGGCAGCCGCAGTGATCTGCCCAAGGGAAAAGCAGGATCCCTAGATCCTTCTTAGCCTGAGCGCTCCCTCATCTCGTTCAGAGTCACTGAGACGCCACACGTCTGTGTGTGTCTGCAATGGGACTTGCTGTTTCGTTAAGATCCCGCCACGCGTGTGCGTGTGCGAGATGTGAGACATGATTCAGTCTCAGCTGGTCCCACCTTGCCCGCCAGCTGGTGCCAGCATAAAACAAGGGGCCAGGAAGCCAGCCCCGAGGAGGTTGATGGTAGAGGGGAGCCGGCCTGTGAATTGTGGCCTCCTTTCTCCACCCCCGGAGCTGCAGCAGGGGCCCAGTGCCGCACAAAAGACCCTTTATTCAGCTGGGTGCAGGGCCACCCGTCCCATCTGACAGTGGCGTGTCGATGTGGGGTGTGTGTGTGTGTGTGTTCTTTGTTGTTGTTGTTGGGGTCTCACCCTGTCGCCCAGGCTGGAGTGCAGAGGCACAATCAAGGCAGAGTGCAGCTTCCACTCCTGGGCTCAGGTGACCCTCCCCTCCCGCCTCAGTCTGCCGGGTAGCTGGGACTGCAGGCATGAGTACCACATCTGGCTGGTCTCAAACTCCTGGGCTCCAGCGATCCTCCTGCCTCAGCCTCCTGAAGTGCTGTGATTACAGGCGCGAGCCACTGTGCCTGGCCTACCCTGGATATTATGTTTGAAAATTGGAAAGCCAGGATTGCATATTCAAGGTCACGTGTGTACTGTCTTAAAGGCCTGCAAAGGCCCCTCAGGTATTTCCATCTTAAATCACTGTTCTTAGGTTCCAAGAAAAATAAAGGTGTTCTTAAAATGTAGGTGTTAGCCGGGCTCGGTGGCTCAGCCTCTAATCCCGCGCCTTTGGGAGGCTGAGGTGAGTGGATTGCCTGAGCCCGCGGCTTCGAGACCCGTCTGGGCAACTTGGTGAGACCTCATCTCTACAATAAATCAAAAACCAGCCGGGTGTGGTAGCGCACGCCTGTAGTTCCAGCTCCTTGGAAAGCTGAGGTGGAAGGATTGCCGGAGCCCAGCAGTGGTCGGGATCGGCTGCTGCACTACCTTCTGGGCGGCAGAGTGAGACTCCAACTCAAAAAATAAAAATAAAAAAAGTAGGTGTTTTTCAGGAACTTAGAGACATCTGATGATGTGATCATAAAAATAATAGTAGTTGAAATTCAGTGACTGGTGCTCTTGAGCAAGTAACATTCTCGCCGTTTTTTCCTCATCTATATCTGGAGAGATTCCTTTTTTTTTTTTTTTTTTTGGGTCAGTCTCACTCTGTCGCCCTGACTGGAGGGCAGGGCATGCTCACAGCAACCACAACCTCTTACTGCTGGGGTCAGGCAATCCTTCCATCTCAGCCTTCCAAGTAGCTGGAACTACTGGTGTGCACTACCGCACCCAGGTAATTTTTTATTTCTTGTAGAGACGGGATCTCACCAAGTTGCCCAGGCTGGTCTCGAACCCTTGGGCTCAGGCAGTCCTCTCATCTTGGCCTCCCAAAGTGCTGGGATGACAAGTGTGAACCGCCACACCCACCCTCTAAAGAGATTTCTGGCTTTTTCTTCAGGCTATTTTGAAGTCAGCTCTTAACTAGATCTGGCTTATGTGATCCTTACCGGCTTCCTTCTAGCAGGGACGGACCCAGGCTGGCTGTGCACATGGTCTTAGCTGGAGCAGGAGGTGTGGTGGACTTCTGTGATTATATTTTCCTGACAGAGTTTTCAAATTGAGGTGAAATGTACATAATATAAAGCCAGTCACTTTATTTTTATTGTTTATTTATTTATTTATTTTTGAGTTGGAGTCTCACTCCATCGCCCAGGCTGGAGTGCAGGGCCCGCTCCTGGCCACCGCAGCCTTGACCTGCTGGGCTCCGGCGATCCTTCCGCCTCAGCCTTCCAAGTAGCTGGAACTACATGTGTGCGCTACCATGCCCGGCTAAGTTTTTGATTTATTGTAGAGATGAGGTCTCGCCAAGTTGCCGGGGTGGGTCTCGAACCCGCGGGCTCAGGCAATCCTCTCGCCTCAGCCTCCCAAGGTGCCGAGATGACCAAGCCCAGCCAAAACCAGTCACTTGGAAGTGAGCACTTCAGTGGCATCAGCCCTTCCTCCAGTTGTGCAGCCAGCCCTCTGTCCAGTTCCAAAACCTCCCCGTCGCTCAGAAACTGCCCACGGCCACTGAACGGTCGAGTCCATCCCCCTCTCCCCCACCTAAGGCCAATCTGCTTTCTGTTCCAGTAGCTCCTCAAAAACATTTACGTTTTAAACACGGTTTCATGTTTCCCTCAGGGGCAGGAGTGGTGGCACTTAGTCTCCTGCCTGAGTCCACAGGCAGATGCTAGAAGCTTGGTTGTCTTTGAGTCTGGGTCTCTGTCACCCACACAGAGCACAGCAGCACAATGACGGCTCACCACAGCCTCGACCTCCTGGACTCGAGCAGTCCTTCCACCTCGGCCTCCCACACTGCCGGGACTGTAGGTGCGAACCCCCGTGCCTTCAAGTTTAGCCCCCATCTACTCAGATGTGCACTGATCCTGGGGTTGAACTTGGACTCACGTGGTGCCCTCTGCAGCTGGCACGGTGGATTCTGAGCATCCCGGAGTCAGACCTTGTGAGGTCACACTCCCTCAGCCCAAGCCTTCTGATGGCAGCGGCCGGATTCCCTGGCAAAGGTGGAAGAGGCCCCACCAAGCCCCCCTTTTTACAGAAAAACAGCAGATGTGATTTGTGGGGGATGGGTCCAGAGCCTGGTTTCATTTTCTTAGAAATGGGGTCTCGCGCTGCCATCCAGGCGGGAGTGCAGTGGCACGGTCATGACCCACCACAGCCCCGGACTCCTGGGCTCAAATGATCCCCAGCCTCAGCCTCCCAAGTAGCTGTGACTAGAGGTGCATGCCACCACCTGAATTATTTATTTATTTATTCTCGGCATTCCAAGTAGCTGGGACTACAGGTGTGCGCCACCTTTTTAAAATTTTTTGTAGAGACATGGTCTCGCTATGTTGCCCAGGCTAGTCTCAAACTCCTGGGCTAAACGATCTTCCTGCCTCGGCCTCCCAAAGTGCTGGGATTGCAGGCGAGAGCTGCCATGCAGGGCCCCAGAGCCCCGTCCCAAGCGTCCCCGTCGGCTGCTGTGCCGGAAGCCCGCCGAGAGCGGCAGGGTGTCTGTGGGACTGGGCGTCGCACGGGGTTTCTGGGGCAGACACCACAACTGAAGGGAAGGGTGAGAAGGAAGAGAAGCATTCACTCCCTCGCGTGCAGGACTCTGGCTGAGGGCAGTGGGGGGGACGGGGGCGGCGGGCGCTGTGGGGTCAGACCAGGGCCTGCCCCCACTCTGCCGCTTCCCGTGCCTCAGGCGTGCGGCTGGACCCTGTGGTCCTGGGGCTGGCTTCTCGGGCGGGCGGGCGTGGGTTGCCAAGGGGCAAGTCTCCGCCTGCTGTGGCATCTGCGGCCTGGGCTGTAGGTCCCAGACGGACCCCGCAGTGACGTGGGGCGGCACTGTGCCACGCAAGGCCTGTGCAGCAACGGTGCCGCTGCAGGTGGGCCTCCCAGCCGCTCCCCCCTCCCTCCCCTGGCCTTTGGGTTCTGGGCACGCACGCTGTCGCATGGCCCGGCCGCATTTCCTGGTCCACCCACCCCGCAGGACGTGCTTAGTGTCTCCCACAGACGAGCGTGCAGCTGGGGCGCTCACACCGGAAGGCATAAGCCCTCCGGCGCCAGCTGGCCACCTCGCCCCCGCAGACACAGCAGCCACCACGGAACGCCAGGGGGTCGTACACTTTAATTCTCATTTTACTAATGTCTTACAGGAAGTGCGAGGAAAGGACACAGGGACAGGGAGAGGAGGGAGGCGTCTCTTGAACTTCTGAAACGATGGCCGCACAACTCGGAAGAAGTCCAGTAGCAGGCTGCGTCCCTAACCACAGGCCAAGAGAGACACAGACAGGCCGCTCTCAGCGCCCAGGAGGTGACGGCTGATGGGTCATGGCCCATACTGCACTTGGCCGGGCAGGACGGGCACACGGGCGGGGGGGCAGGGGTGGCTCTGAGTGGAGCCTCACGGGCGGTGGCCGGCGCAGCCCTGGGGATCCTGCCCACGATGGGCCGCTGGACATGTCAGGAGACCCTTAGGAAACGGGATGATTTCTTGCTCCTACGTGCTGGTGGTGTCGACTGACCAGACGTGGTTTTGTACTTCCGGGCAGTGGCACTGTGGCCTACGCCAGGCAGCCTCGAAAGGCCAGGGAGAGTGGACGCAAGGGCTCGGACAGGGCCGAGACGGGGCAGGGGGCCGTGGGGACGCGGGGTGGGGCCGAGAAAGCTAGTCTATGTCACCACAAAGGGACCGACGCTGACAGCCGCTGGTTCTCCACTCACAGAAACACTTCTAGCCTAGACTACACACTAAGGTCAGCGCGGCGGGGCCACGTCTAAGGGTACGGCGAAAGCTACGTTCTCAACGAAGTCGTGTTTTCTCCTAAGTAACTGGGTTCGAGTGAGCGGGAAGCCTAGCATCTGGGGATTCTCTCCATTATTTTTCGTGTTGGGAAAACCTTCACAGTTCTTCACTGCCATGAAGCTCACAGAACCAGAAGGCAGGGCGGGCAGGGCCGAGTCACTACACAAGTCACAGAACTGTCAACATGCACCTAACTTTACCACTGAGCGGGCCGCGCCAAGGGGGAAATCTTTCGTGAAGAACCTCTGTGTGCCTAACAGGAAAGGATTCCACATGAGCCTCTTCCTTTCTCCTCCTGGGTGGAAGAAAAGGGTGAACTGAGGGTGGGCGTGTCTGTGGACAAGCGCCGAGGCCGGAGACGTTCTGTCGGGCAGTGTGGCCCGCGGGCTGGTCTTTGGCAGTGGCCATGGGATCAGGCATCTGGGATGAGGCGGTGCGGCGACACGGCTGTCGCTGGCTCACGGCAGACGCCGAGGACCTCAGATGTAGCACCGCAGCTCTGTTCCCCTGCACCAGGCCCGCTGCTGTGAGCCTTCGGGAAGGTGAGAAGCTGTCCTGGGTGATGCCCGGGCGGCCCCGGGGCGTGTGATCGTCGACCTAAGGGGTGGTTTTCTTACTCGAGCAAGTGAGCATTTGGTGCGCAATGTGAGACGGAAGCCTGAGGACGGTGCATCGCGGTGGCGGGTGTCATGGTCAGAGCCAGGCTGCTGGCGGGGCAAGTGCGCGCTCCCCCTTCAGCACCAGCTTTTGCCTGCGACAGGTTAGACCTTCGGGCTGGAGATGGTGCTTTCCTCTATGTTTGACTTCTCGGTTTTCTTCGTGGAAATGACTGTCTCCTCCAGGACCTCCTCAAAGCTCTCCCCTGTCTGGGAGGTTTTCTTGGAGGCCACCTTCAGCGCCTCCTCCTCCTCCTCCTCCTTCTTCAGCGACAGCCCGGCGGCCGCGATCTTGGAGGTGGTCGAGCTGAGGACTCTGGGCGGGAGCAGGTATGTGGGATTGGGAAGCGGGTTCAGCCCAGACATGCTTAGGCCACTGGTGCTGAAGCGGGTCTCTTCACCTTCCAGCAGCTTCCTGTAAGCGGAACAGAAAAGCTCTCAGAAGGCGACGCGCATCCGTCCCGAGACCTTAGCCCTCCAGGCCCTGTCCACTTTGGAGATTCTAGAGGGCTCTGCGGTTTCTTTGTGAGGTTGAGACCCATAAACACTGAGTTCCAAGGCTCGAAAGTTGAAGTGTGGGCAGGTGTACACACACACACACACACACTCATGCACACCTTCAGCACCAGCTGTGTTCAAAGCATTGTCAGGTGGGCACAGCGGCTCACACCTGTCATCCCAACACTTGGGGAGGCCGAGGCGGGAGGATGGCTTGAGCCCAGGAGTTTGACACCAGCCTGAGCAACACAGCAAGACCTCATCTCAACAGAATTTTTTTTTTTTTTGAGTTGGAGTCAAATGAGCTGGGCCTACCCAGCTACTCGAAGGTGGAAGTGGGAGAATCACTTGAGGCCAGGAGTTTGTTTTTTGTTTTTGTTTTTTTTGAGTTGGAGTCTCACCCTGTCGTCCACACTGGAGTGCAGTGGCCGCTCCCGGCCACCGCAGCCTCGCTTGCTGGGCTCCAGCAACCCTTCTGCCTCAGCCTTCCAAGTAGCTGGAACTACAGGCGCGCGCTACCACGCCTGGTAAATTTTTTTTTTTGAGTTGGAGTCTCACTCTGTCACCCAGACTGGAGGGCGGTAGCATCCTCCCTGCCACCGCAGCCTCAACCTGCTGGGCTCCGGCGATCCTTCCGCCTCAGCC